TCAATCAGTTGGTCTGGCCTTTATAATCTCGATCTCTGACTGATCTTTAGATCGCACGATCTTCAAGCATGCCTGCACTTCCTTATCGATCATTAAGCTTGTGATCGATATTGTCGGACATCACATGTCGGACATCCTTAGTATTTCTAGATCTTGGACTTATTTCATATACTTGCAATGCTAACTTATTTTCTCAACATTTTAATCAAAATAAATAATTTGGAGTTCACTCGATCAAGTTCGAATAAACTTTATATTGTGGAAAACTGTCTGCTTAAAATAACTCACTTTATGTACGCCTTTTAAATGGAACTCAATTTCTGCTATTATTAAGCGGCTGTTGTTGTCCAAGACCTTTCAGGTAATTTTCGAAACATATCTCCATAGGCATACAATATATTGGGAATCATCACATACTATGTGTTATTGAATACCTAATTAATTAATTAATCCTAATTTCGTTAATTATTAAAGATTTTCTCGAAGTTTTATAGATGTACCCTGACATTTCTGACGAGTTCTCAAGGAACAGGAAAAAAGTATAGGGTCTTTTATAAAGTGCCTCGTATTTGTACACTACTACGGGCGCAATGCAAATGTTGGTGAGATGGATTAAAAGAGTCGATTTTTCGTGATGACGGCTGGAATCGGTTTCATTTATAGGTCTAATGTTCGTTCCCATGCATGGCTTCGCTTCGAGAATACGACACCTCCATCAGTCAAATTTTTGCAGGAAGTTTGCAGTTGTGGTGGGTTCACGCGGGACGTTCTCATGGCTTCAATGAGGAAAAATCCAAGTTTATGACCTAACACTCACGCCGGATAGCGCTCAGGCGCGCTAAAATGCGTCGAACGTTTCAAGGCAATGTTTGAGATCGCAGTGTATTCCAGCGATGGGATAAAAGAGATTAGGAAATAACCGTGACGAAGTTAACGAGCGCGGCAAAATCTGCCGCTGGCACATGCCAAAATTTCCTGCAGATTTTTAAGAGCATTCATGTTTTCTCGTAAATTTGTTTCAGCTTGTCGCTAGTTTTTTTTCTTTATGGCGATAAGGAGGACAATTTTTAAGCGATTGAAACATTTTTTACATGAATAAAATTTTCACGAATCGAATTGCTGTTCCTTATAGATCAGACAACTTATTTTTCAGAAAAGCGTGGTTGTAAAACTTAGCAATAATAATTTTTCTCTGAGCTGCGGCTAGCAGTCCCTTGTACACCTGCATCGCATAGCTACACTAAGAAACATTAGTGGATTACATTGTCTAAATAACGACACAGTTTCTTATCTCCAGCACTATACAGCAGAGAGCGAACGGACGTACTCTTTTCTGAGAGAGCGAACGTACTGGTTCTCACTGGTGAACTCTTTTTACCGGGCCAAAATAGGTCAGGATGAGCCAAACAAGAGCAAAGAAGTAGTGCATTACTATTTGGACAACGACCCACTGGTTTCTCTGAGTGAACGCTCTGCACAGCTGTACATTGTGGCAGAAAGAAATGCCTTACTTGTCCGTACAGTCTGTTCAGCTTCAGTAAAATTTTGTAGTGTTTTAGGAAAATTATTTGTTTGATCCTTTGTGTAATTCAAAACTAAAAATAATAAATCGGATGAATTTCATCCATCTGAGCATCTATCACCCACCCTCGGGAATTTATTAAAATTAACGAAATAAGAACTAAATTTATTTGAAATTGTCACGATGTAAGACGATGAAACATTCTATGTTGTTGACTGCATGACACCTAAACAAGGTAACATACAACGGAAAATATAACGGGATTTTTCAACGGTAACGGTGAAATTATTCCCAATGAACAAGTCACTTTGCAACATTTTTACGGCTGGTAGCCTTTAGCCAAAAACATTGCTTATGAAAATCTCGTATTTTTCGCAGATCTGTTGTGAAAACGCGAAATTTTGTTGATAATGAGCTTGTGACTGTTGCTTTTTATATATTTGAATAAAACCTCCATTGATATTTGACCTCCAACTGCGCATTCACTCACATTTCTTGGTCCATGTCATGAACTGCAGGGGTACATGTACGGACATTAATACAGATATTTTAATGGAGTTCCTGGAGCTTTAGTAGGTCTCAGCTTAAAGGCACATACTTGGGTCTATATAAGTGGAGTTTATGCGTGTCTGCTTATGCCATATTTATGTCTGCTTGTGTCGTATTTATGTCTGCTTGGAGTACCGTGTACATACATCATGTTTGTTGTGCAGCAGTCCATCGTACGTTGCATGTCAAACACGCCCAGTTCATACCAAACATGTGAACTCACACTTCCCTCTTCCTCACAATTAAGTCTAGAATATATTTACAGAATAATATTTTTATTTTGTATTCGTTGAAAAGTATGCATTGATCACCTAAATTCAGTTTGTACTATTCAACTTGACATCGATGAGAACGTGATGGGGACTAATGAACATATAATTATCCGATTGATTTCTATTATTGTTAAAAATGCATTTGACTGCTTCTCATGGTCACGTTAAATACAAAATTATAATCGAAAAACTCATTTTTGTGTGCATATTTTCTATTAAATAACCAATGGTTCCTATGACAAAAAGAGAATTCAACGTGTGTACGGATAATAAATCTGTTGGAAATAAATTTGTAGAAATAGAGAGCAGTTGCAATAGTTACTGTAGCTAGAGAAGTTTCAAACGAGAGCTGAACACTTGTTGAAGCGTGATTTAGTTGCGGTCATGACGAAGTATTCGAGTCATGTGATGGAACTTGAGTCAGTGCTAGAATATTTGTGATTGAGTGAAGTTGTTAATTTTGTGCCACGGTTCAGGTATGTTCCAAATTCAATATGTCGCGTAAATTCGTTCTTGAAACTCTATGAGTACTCAGTGTCAAGCTTTACTTTTGCTATACGTACTCATTTTTAAGAATTCGTGATTTATGTTATTTAAATTTCATTCTTTTATTTTACTGAAGTCTTCACTGAAGTTCAGTAGTCTTCACTCGTCGAGAATTTGGGTTACTAAATACATTGCATTAAAAAGTCCTCTTTAAAAATAAAAAGTTTAATTGAGAAATACAACTTAAACTGACCTATAACTTCTCGTCATGCAATGTCATTTAATTCATAGCTAAAAATTATTTAAGGAGACGGTCGACCATGCAGCGTGCCAAGGTCCGTATGGAAACAGCGTCGCAGCTGTCGCCAGTTCTCTATATTTTTTGTTCATTGATCCTTATAAGGCCGTGGTCTTCAATGAAGCGCTAAATGAACAAAAAACTAGCCTATACGTGCAGAACTACTCAGGAAGCCTGCTTGAATGGCTGCCTTAAGTCGATCTATTTTAAAGAGAGATTGAATGACTCTGCCTTAAGCCGTCTCTCTATTAAAGAGCTTGAATTATTTTGCCTTATGTCATTCACTTTTTTCATGAGATTTACTGACTCGGCCTTAATCCGTTCTATCTTTCAACAAGCTTGTATGGCTCTACATCCAGTTTTACTCTGGTAAAAAACAGAATCACTTTACACCAAGCCATTCTCTTTAAAGAGCTTGAATGCCTCAGCCTCATGACGTTCTCTCGTGAATGACGCTGCTTCAAGGAAATCTCTTCTTAAAAGAGCTTGAATGACCCGGTTTACAACTGATTTCTATGTAATAGAGCTTGACTTACTCTCCTTAAAATATTTCTCTTTATAAAACAGCTTGGTTTACTATACACCAAGCCATTTTATTTAAAAAAGCTGGACTATCTTTCCTTCAACCCAGTCTCGCTTTAAAAGAACTTGAATAAATTTGCTTCAGGCCAGTCTCTCATAAGAAGAGATCGAATTCCTTTGCCAGTCTGTCTTTAAAAAAGTTTGACTGGTCTTAACTTGTACAACCTGTCTTCTGAGCAGCCATTCTTGATTTGGTAATTTGGTTTCATGCCGTGAACAGTTTTAGCGACCCCCAAACTGTATAATAGTATAGCTAGTCATATCATCTTAATTCATTAGGTGACTACGAAATTTCTCGAGAATTGATCATAACTCCAGCAGTGCTTGATTCTGTTGAAATTTAAAAATGAAACGTTCAACATTGCCGAGAAATACATTCATACATGTTATGATGATCCAATAAATTTGAGTTTCCGAAGCAAATTACGCTAATAAAATAATGCAAGTCCGTGTTGGCGATTGATAATAATGCAAACGACTTCATATTCAAAATGTTGCAAATTTACAGCCGGTTATCATTATGATGACTTGAGTATAAATTTGTCGGTAATGAGTTGGATCTCTTGAATTAGTTGAAGCCCAAGTTTTGATTTTAATTAAATAAACAACTTTAAAAAGCCATCATTAGAATGGTGAACAACCGTCAAATTCGATTCATTCCCACGTTAAGATAAATCGATATTTAACTGATACACAGAGCGAATTAATAATAGATTTGAGCTCATCAAATTTAATATTGTGCAGCCAGATATTATATAGATTTTGATTAAATTTTTCTTGCTCATTAGTCTAGTGGTTGAACGAAGCTTTTCGTGTCCTTGGTCTGGATGTCAAATTGTGCACTTCAATGTTTGCGTGTATTCTGATGGCCAAATCAGAAAACAGTGATTGTTTTCTGATTGAATAGTGAGTAAGTGTTTTCTGATGACCAAGACAAATCTACGTTCGCTTAATATCATTAAATTAAAATTGGATATTTTGAATTAAATTAAATTAAAATTTTGTTCCTACACTGCGAGTGACTGTCATTATACGTATGTGCTCCCTTTACGTTTTAAACTTCGTCTATGATTGCTTAAAATTTTACTTTCACGATATTCTGAATAGGCTGAAGTGGGAGTAAATTTGCTTATAGAAGAAACGAGTCATGTTAAAACACCTGATGACTTTGTAATATTAACTAAATGAATTCTCATTCAATTTTTTCAGCCTGTTCAGCAATCAATGTTATCGCTTTTGATTTTTTTGTGATTTGCTTTGTATTGATTTTTGTTCTTTTCTTTTCTCTTAGATGAGCTTCACTGCTATGATTCAGCATTTCTTCGAAAGTGAAATATATTGCCAGTTCTTCCTTATTCAAGCCCTATCCAAAATAAAACTCGTAGTATTGTTGTAAAATTTCCAAACGGATGGTTTTATCTCTTCGATGAGCTTTTTCGAGTGGAATTTTTTAAAGAATAAAATGTTTTATCGGATAAGGACGAAGAGATTGTGATTTAACATCGTTTTAGTCACAAATTTTTCAGAACTCAACCAAGCTTGTCAACAGCTATACACTTTAAACCCATAAAAATACATGCGTGAATTTCCACAATGATCATCACTATTGAGGTGTTGGATAGGCCAAAAATTACGTTTACACGAACCGAAAACAGCCTTTCACTTCCAACTACTCGAGAATCCTTCAAACGCGCAACGTCTCCCACCTTGTATTCTGACAACAAAAAAATTCGCAGCAGCAACACCCACATCACCACACACCCAATAGTCAAGGGCGAAACTAATTCACCGAAAATAGAAATTACGACCGCCTCCATACTCATGACCACGCCTAAAAATTATGCGGCTAATGTGGACAGCTTGAAGTGTGATCCTTTCGAGGTGTCTGCTAAACTATGTGATGTCAATCTTCGAGTCGAGACGAAGGAGTCCAAACGGGGGAGCACACCTCCACCAAGTAATGAAGTTCATAAGAAAGAAACCTCTGAACAATGGCTCGAAAGACTGCATGGCAATCGGCGCAGTTTCTTTGGCACAAAACCAGGAAACAGTCAGAAGGAGACGACCGTGAACCAAAACCTGGGAACCTTTCAACCGAAACTTCCTGGGAATGGGAGTTCATTTGAAGCCGATAATAATTACAAAGGAAAAGAAGGCAACACGCAGAGAAAGATATCCGTGTTAAATTTTGTGATTGGCCGAAGAAAGTCAAGCGTCAATGATGATGACTTTGTAACTGGTAAGAAAATTGTTGCTCCTGACATCAGCCGCAATGGAAAGAGTGCTGCCGACCTCCATTGTAAGAATATTGGAGGCAAAATAGGAATTCCTGACATGCTTCATGCCTCCTCAAATGAACGTAATGTTGCTTTAGGAAACGGAATTGAAAATTTGAATGAGAACAACGGGATTAGCATAAAACGCCCCAAATTTTCAGTGTGTTCTGAAAGCGAGCCAAAGAAATTTCGAAGTCGATGTGCTTTATCCGCTTCAGTTCCTCCTAATTTGAGAAAGAATGCACGTAATGTGAACAATGTCGTTGAAACCTTATCTGGTGTTAGAAGTTCACACGGAAGCTCAGGATTAAATAAAGAAAATCAGCCAAATAAGGGGAAATGTGAGCCGAAGGACACAAGTGGCAACCGACAAGTCGATGAGAAATCCGTAGAAACTAATGGCCAGCGACAAACTTCAAGTTTCTTCTCGAATAACAACAAATTGAAAACCAAGACCTTTGATCATGAAAAAAATTCTAGTGTTTCCAACACCAATAAACTGAATGAAATATGCGATAATCTTAAAGGTCCAAGGGGCTGTAAAGTGAACGGACATCTAGCTGAAGGGATAGTTCGCCTCGATTCAGAGGAATCCAGTGAAACCAAAAAAGAAAAAATTCATGAAATCCGCAGTAAACTAAAAAATTCAAACCTCTTCACTAAAAATCCCGAACCAAACGGACCAGAAATAAACAAAAGTGAACTACATGAGCCGAAGAAAAGTCGGAACAATAGTTTAACAGATGCGTTTATTCGTTTTCGACGAGGAAGCGCATCCTTCAGCAACAAACGCGGCAGCGTAGGAAACAACAAGCGCTGCAGTATCAGTGGCTGCAGTGGCAAGCGACCAAGTATAAGTGCATTGCAGGACAATAAATCTTTCATCGACATCCTGAGGAGTCGTAAGAATAGCCTAAGTAGTGAAGTACGTACTAGGAGTAACAGCCTCACTAATGTAGTCAACATACGACGTGCGGGCCGTCGCGCCGAGAAGAAGAAAAATGCTAGTTCAAGTCTTGCGTCGTCGTTACCTGCCAGTGAGAGGACCAACAGAGCAAGAAGTTCACCGCCTCAGAGGACAGCCGCTTTCGCAGACAATGATTGGAAAACAATTAAAACCAAGAGGTAAAGTCAGATTTTTACACTCGTTGACTAATATTTACTCAAAATGCTTGCTCGGACACATTTGACCTCATGAAGTTTAGGAAACTACTAACCGAGTTTTAAACACTATTCACGCTGTACATTGTTCGTTACTAATATAATCTTAGAGTAAAGTAAACTTTGGCTATCTAACACTGAATTAATTGGCGTCGTGATTTAATTTTTACTCCTATATGATTCTAATATTACATATTAAAGAATCGCCTTCGTTTGATTGAAATTCATCTAAACTACCATTTTGATATGTATTACGATATATCTATTTATTTCAAGATTTATCTTCACGTAATTTCTTTGATACGACTCCGCACTGTTCCGCAAACTTTAGATAAAGTTCCGACCACAATTTTATGTATCTGCTCTACTAACTTCTGTGCGATGCTACTAATAATCCAATGAATTATTTTGTTGCTTTCCTGCAAAACGCATCGCATATTGCCTTTACTTATGTCATGCTCCTCTTTCCTGTTACATTGTAATTTTTAACTTTTTTGTGATTATCAACGTTCCAAAATGTTGTACGTCTGCTTGGCTTCTAATCGCACGTTTGTTCAAACTTGTCCACTAAATGTTGCTTTTTCAACAATTAGATTGCATAGTTCGTATATTGTATATCGTCAATATCAACTTAACATTTCATCAACGAAAATGTAAAAGGTAAGTTATTTTTTGATCACCTCTAAAAAACAGCATTAAAATTCTCACAGCTTGAAAAATGTAATTATCGAAATATTTTAAAAACTCTCTAATCCTAAAAGTTAGTTCAAGTGCAGTGGATTATTTATTTTCGTCATTCAAACATTTCAACGACGCAATTTATTCCCCAAAGCATTGCAGTAATTATCGAATTATCATCCCCCAATATGGTAGCCATTACACAGACGTTGGCGTTTACCACCAATTGCTGCATGTCGTGCGTGGTTCATATCAGGCGACCGCCAACAATTTAGAGATGAAATGTGGCTCGCTGCCTCCCCAGACTTAGTGGCACCGTCTATGACCAAAGCATGACGGAATCCCGAAGACCTCAAACTTATGAACTACGAGGACAATATTTTTTGGTACGCTACGAAGTGAATGTTTTAGCTATCTTATCTGTATTAGTCAATGCTTTGGCTTGAGGTATGAGTTAACATTTTAAGCATGAATAAATGAATCTATCATTTTGTGCAGCTAAGCGCGAGAAGCGCAATTTATTATGGGAATTAAATCTCAGAGTGGGTTAGAATTTCTTGCAACTATCGATATAGATGCGAGCAATTGGAACAAAAAATGTTGGTTTTCATTCATTATTGAATGCTGCCAGCACGACTCGCACACACCTAATTTAGTAGAATAAGGACAACAATGATCAATGTTTCAATCATCTGCCCACCAGGTTACAACATCGAATAGATTCCTTGAACTGTAATAACCTTAATATAGTCTAATCCTGCAGTTTCATCACAACTACTTACTCTATATAGATACTTATAGAGCGACATGTAGCTGCACATAATAATATGCATTGATAAGCGGTTTAGATATATATGACGCCATCTGGTGTTACGAATTCCGTAGACTTTTCCCGTGAATAGAGTTGACCAGCAGGCATCCTGGGAGCCTTTAGTTTCCCCGTGAACTGTAACAAGCGCCATTCGCTTGCATGCTACTGTGCAGTGGATAACTCTTGAATAATTCTTCTGGCCCATCACGAATAGCGTCAATTTTTCATTGATAGCTGCAGTTTACGACTGTTTTACATATATCGTGAAGTTTCAGTAATATTGCTTTAATTTTCCTCTATGTGATTTTAATGTAAAAGCTGTGATCAACAAGTGCTTGCGGCACTGAATGTTATGCCGCATAAGCCGATAAGGAATTAATTTAGAATATTGTTGAGGACGGTTGGGCAAATTAGTCACCAAGTGTGGAAATTCAAGGTTGAAATAAGTAAGTCGAAGTCAATCACTAATTGTATTATACCATTCGACAATTCTACTTTTTAATTGTCATTTCCTAAATCGAGAAAGCTTTCGTTGTTAGCTCAGACTTTTTTTACTGTCGACAATTTATTATTGATACAATTTTGTTTACTGTGAAGTTAAATGTAAAACTAGCTTTGATATATACTGATGTAGGAAAAGGTTTTATAGTAAAATTATATCGTTAAATTGGGATAAGGTTAAATGTTCCGTGAAGGCCATGATAAACCTATGCGATAGAAACCCCTTAGGGTCATTAGAAAAAAACCCTTAGGGTCATTCAGAACATATTTTGTAGTTAAAACATATGCTGCGCTGACTCCACTGCAAGCTAAGCGACTTTGAGTTCATATTTTATTTAGCAAAATATAAAAACATGGGCTTGGATGTTTCTGGTCGTGGAGAGCGGGATTCTTTTTTATAATCTCAGGGTATAAATCATTAGAGCCACGACCTCTTCATTGTCTTCCGACTTTCCGTAAAATTTTATTGACGCGTCCAGATGTTAAGCAAGTTATTTTAACGATGACTTCAGCGTTGAAATATTGAAGAGTTTGATATTTCGAATATTGCGAAAGACATACGTTTCTTTAGGTACATCAAAACCCCTTTGACCGACGATGCTGCCAGAGATATATGCAAAAATGTTAATGTAAAGTAGTATATGATTATATAAAAATGTAGCGTTAATCACGCTACATCTAAATCAGTGATCGAATTCAGTTATGATTACATCACGAAGCCTATGAATGTGACATGAATGAAGTTTCGGTTAGCAAGCTCATCACTGATGTATTTAATCTCGACATATAACAATCATATGGATTAGTTTTAAAATAAAAAAACTATACCATTTGTTATAGAGCACACTTGTTCTCTGTTTTAATTCCAGATAAATGGTATATTTAGTCCTGTTATTCCTGTGGTGATCAACCATTACCATTCTGTAATAGGCAAGTTAAAGTAAATTTTAATGTAATTAATTCATTATTAAATTTAAATTTATTTAATTTCATCCAGACACTGCGTTTAATAAACGTCGGAAATAATACGCATTTGTTGGCGGAAAATTGATTTTTTAAACCGTCAGCGTTAAGGATGACTAATATAAAACTTGAGATTCAGTGTGAACATAGTACTTGCGAAAATAATCTAGGAGAATACGAATGAATGTTAAAAAATACGTGTTTATGATATAAAGAAAGATAGAGTACTGTATGTATAATTCGCTATTTATAAAACTCTTTAAAATGAGTTATTTAAATAATATCTTTTATATACGATGCGCAAGAGTTTTAATTTATTATATTGGGCCTGCATAAAAAAGTATGTAAAATTAAACTATTTTTTTGTCACCGAATTTTCAGCAAGGATTTCCAGATTTTGTCATCCCTAAGGTAGAAAATAATTTTAGGTGCTAGCCTTGCGTTGAAACGCACTCTCACGTCACGACTTGTCCAGTCAATAATGGGCTATTAAAGTGTTGTTGTTCATAAAAGTTTTTTAATGACAGTTTTTGAAAGATCTGACGTCGGCCTTTCTGGATTCCGGTTTTTACCTGATTCGATGTCAAGCCAAACGTCTGTTTCAAGCCGATGTTACATAGCTTTCACATATTTTTCACGTTTTAGAGTTATTTTGTGGTTACGTAAATGAATCAATGTAAATTTGTTTTGAGCATAACATTTGCAGTTTGTATTAATGCTGCTAGGAATCAGAAAAATCGGAAATTTTTCCGTGCGGACGTAGAGATAAAGTTCATGAGAAATTTACTCCGGCTGCCGGTCAGTTTCCCGGTAGCCTGGGCCCTGGCAAAAGTCTGCGGTCAGTGTGCGCCTAGACTTGGTAGGGGTTGGGCATTCCGTTCGACGTGGCGCAGTGACTGGGAAGTGCCTAGTGACACTGAAAACTGACCAACCTCTGGTTTCATTAGCATAAATTTCTGTGCACTCTTAAGCTGGTATACTTTTACTCGTGAAAAGTCATACTCACGCTTCCAATAACAGGACTTTGAAGAAGTCGATGCGTAAGTTCTGTTTCGTGCATGATCGACGGACCTACCACACGCGTCTTTCATGCCTTGACCCACTTAGCTGAATTAATCGAAATCACTGAATCAACGAAGAAAACTGACAACTGGGTAAACTTCGACGACATTAAGAGACAATAAGTAATTCGACGACAGAAACACTCGCTTAATAAGCTTTACTTACATTGAAACTGTTGAAACTTTGATGATGGCTGATGGACTTATTGAACCAACTTTGTTCAGTCCACTTACAGCTGATCGTGGCTACGCAGGTCATCTCATCACTGACCAGGAACGATGTCTCACGTGTGCAAAGAAAAACTACGGTCTTGATTTCCCGAGCAAATCGGCAGGGAAAAGTAGGCTCTTGAACAACCGACATCCGCATAAAGACATTCTAGACCACGTGCAAGAAAAAGAGTCGCTAGTCCAGAGATTTGCGAGGAAAAGTGGCCTGCTAAGAAGTTTTTTTCCGGATATAAAAGATTCCGGAGATTCGTTAGTTGGTTCACCGCTCGCATCAGCGTCTTTAGTTCGCAAGCCAATCGCTAGTACACTCGCTAGTCCGCTCCTAACTAAGGATAGCAAAAAGCATCACCATCATCACATCCACGTTCACACTCATCACCATTATCCGAACGGCCAAACCAAGTCTCGAGTTGCCACTATTCTAGATGATGCATCTGCCCCTCAGACTAGATCTGGCGCAAGAGTGGCAGTAACTCCCAGAGCTGGACTACGTTCCCAAACTCCGAAATCAGTATTACAACAAAGAAAAAGTGTTGTGAATCCTCCTGGGACCGCAAAACCACTTCCTAGAATAAGTACTTCTGACTCTAGAAGACCAACTCCACTTAGGAAAAGTACGTACACCGTAGTCAGCCAGCCGAGGAAGGTCTCTACACAAGGCTTGAAGTCGACCAAGCCTGTCACCAGTGGCAAGAGAAAGCACAGCAACGGTGGTCGAA